CTTTAACGTCATATTTGACACTTCTGCAATTTTGTCATTGTTGGGCATGAAACAAATCATACCTAATGACTCATACATGCACAGTTTACATTGGATTCCATTGTAATAATAAAGTAACATAGAAAAACACCTCTTAAACAGCTCAGATGACTATTTTTGGACTACTCTGACCAATGAAGCTAGTTCAACTGTAGGTTCCCTTTTATGACCAGTCTTATACAATCTGGTTTCTAATAATGATTTCTGAAAATAATGTCAGTTTTTGGTAGCAAATATTTAAACATTAACCGTGTGTTTGAAAACATATTGAAGACTCAAATAATCATAAGAAGAACTATGTTAGATATCAAGTTGAACGATAATGTTTGTTACGTTCGAAATTTTAGCATAATTGCTTCCCATTCTCAAACTTGTCGTATTTTTTTTTAATGCTAAAGGATACATGCGAAGTTGTTAGACAAAGATCTAAAGATTTTTAAACGAAACTTGTGTAGAATAAATTCAGTGGATATTAGTCCTTTTTTCTTTGAAAAGAGTTCTACTTACCAGTATTTTGTATGGTAGGTTGTTACTACAGTTTGCATTGTCTTTGATACTATGCAAGAAGTTTCTTAAATAAGGATACTAAGAAATCTTAATGGTTAAGTTATATTCTTTACTGCAATAGTTTTGAGGTTTACATCACCGACTAATTGTCGCATCTTTACTTACCATTAGTAACATGACTGATGTCACTTGTGGAACAGGATTTACTTCTCCGTCCAAAGCACATGAGATGATCCCCGGTTTATGATGAGGTTACTGATGCTTAGTCGTTAGTTTCCTTTGTATTTCTTTGTGGTCTATTAGTTGTCTTTTCGTATTTTTTTCTTTTTGAACATGGTATTTCCTATTTGTACTTTTTTATTGTCTCCTTGGTTTCTCCTGCCTCGTTTTGACGATTAATAAATATCTCTTGCAGATGACCATGGATAACTATTATAACGTTCCATTTGACATGGACGTAATCTTTTCGTTCTTTCCTTTGTTCATAAGGATTCGGTATCGATGTAGAATGGTAGATCTATGATAATGCTTTGTTCTATTCATTCACCGCTAGTTTGTAGAGGCAGGGGTAACTTGGGACAATTTGAAGCTTGATATTGTATACACACGTGTTCACTATGGAAGATTGTGTTTTGACATCTAGATGTCTCTTGGTTAATTTAAAGTGTTAGGTTGCTTTTCCGGGTTACCTTACTTCGCAACAACTGGCTATCTGTTGGTTTACTTTGCTTTGTTTTATATGCACAGTTTTAATTTGGTTTCCTTTGATAAAGGTGTTGTACGACCATATGTGCACTACTTACGCTATTTTATAAAGATACTGTTCAGGAAATATTAAAATGTCATCAGTTTTTGGCGGCCAACTTATTTGATAAAAATACGCAATACGAATAAAAGGAAACGAGGGTTATAGGTAAATATTTAGTACAAAGTATAATTGATATCAAGTTTATTGATTTAGTCAAATGTTTTCATCGCAGGTTCCTAATAACTGTACACAATACATTCATTTTCAAAGCAGATATACAAAACACAAACCAAAAATAGAATGTAAGGAACAATAGTGACAAAAGGTGACTAATATTTATTCACACGACTGTGTTGGTATACTCCATATCCACAGATATATATTGATCATTATTTCGTTAATTGGAATTGATATAGAATATAAAGGCTAAATTAATATAGAAAAGTGCTAAAGATATGAAAATAGAATGAAAAAAGAGCCTTTCAGGAATTAAATTTGAAACTTTCGAAAAGTACATAATTCAAAGAGCTGATCAGAAATCCGAATAGAAAAGGACGCACAAGAGCTCAGACGAAAGAAACGAATAAAATAAGTAGCAATGGCCCACAAAATGTTACAAAGCAAAACAGAGTATGCATATAAACACAAATAAAACCGAAAAACTAAGCAAAGATACAATGTCAACTTCCCATTTTCATCAGTAACATACCCTATGCCTAATCGTATGGCGGTAACATATCTCAGTTAATACGTTCCGCTCGTGCATGTTCACACCATACAGACTTTATTACCCGGGGTGCTCCTTTATTTTACACAAAACTGCTTATAGAGTTATGAGCAAGAAAGACTGAAATCGTAACTACATAAGTTTTACGGTCACCAGCACGAATGGGTTAACCGATATGATGGGTCGGTACTACATAAGTTTTACGGTCACCATCACGGATGGGTTGACCGATATGATGGGTCGGTACTACATATGTTTTACGGTCACCACCACGAATGGGTTGACCGATATGATGGGTCGGTACTACAGATGTTTTACGGTCACCACCACGAATGGGTTGACCGATATGATGGATCGGTACTACATTAGTTTTACGGTCACCACCACAAATGGGGTTGACCGATATGATGGGTCGGTACTACATAAGTTTTACGGTCACCACCACGAATGGGTTGACCGATATGATGGGTCGGTACTACATAAGTTGTACGGTCACCACCACGAGTGGGTTGACCGATATGATGGGTCGGAACTACATAAGTTTTACGGTCACCACCACGAATGGTTGACCGATATGATAGGTCGGTGTCTCAACTCAAACATTTTTTCAATAAAACTGTTATAAGGTAGAGCTGCTCTAGAACAGTTGAGAACAATTCTATGACATGTTATTCTAAAGTTCTGAAGAGAGGTTAAAACTTTACTTTTGAAATATTCGGTGTAAAGGCGTCAACCTTATATAGTGGTACTGAATAAAAGGATCGAGCGAGTTTGATTGTTTGTAATCATTTTGTTTGAATTGAATCTTTTACAGAAAATCTTTTTATAATCAAAGATGAAGAAGATGATAAAATATATATTAATGAGAGGTTGTCTCCATTATTATAAAACACGATATTCTTCCCATGTTGGCCATTGATTAATTTTTGATTTTTGGTGTTTTAACGCCACTTTTAAGCACCGCTTTTGGGCTATTTCGTGGCGGCCAGTTTTTATTGGTGGGGGAAGCCGGAGTGCCCGGAGAAAACCACCGACCTTGTTGGCCATTGTGCATTGTCGTTATGAAACAAGGTTGGCATAATTCTATAATTTCTATTTTAATAATAAGCAAAGAAATGTTTTGTCAATGATGGTATGCAAACCTTTGAGGCGAAATTTGAATGAATCTACATCTTATTTGCATATCCCCTGGAGTAGTTGCAGTATTATTTACATATCCCCTGGAGTAGTTGCAGTATCTTTGAAAATGTATGTTTACCGCTGTTGATAATCAGAAAGGGTTTTGTACACCCTACGACTGACCTAGAAGTATAACACAATTATACACTAAACTGTATAAATAACATGAACTATTTCTTTTTTCACAGAACTATTAAATAGATAACAGTTTGACAACAACAATACCGAGGTACGGACTATGAAACGAACTTATAATACATTCAAAGGGGGGTAATTCTAATTTTCCACATTACATGTCATAAATATTACAAAAAAATAAACACTCGCCAGAATTTTGTTAAGAAGGGAGTCGTATAAATTGTCTGATGGTAAACTAAAACATTTTATCTATTAAAACAACTTTTGGATTTGAAAACTTTTGGAAGGAAAACTTCAATTGGTTACGTATTAGATGTAAACCTTAATAAAACAAAGGTTTTTAAATTTTAACAACACATCGATTGTCCATTGCATTTAAATGAGCAAAAACTTGAAAGTGTAAAGTGTTATAAGTACCTAGGAATTACTTGTGCATCTAGTGGTAAATTAACACAGTGTAAAAATGAGCTATAAAAGAAATCAATGAAAGCATGTTTTAAATTACAACAATGCCTAACATCTACCAATCCTAGTGCCTCAACTTTAATGCATCTTTATGACCATACAATTAAACTAATTTTAATGTATGGCAGCGAAATTTGGGGAATGTTTTAAACCATTTCAGTTGCATGTAAGAAGAAGAATGATTACATTTTAGAAAAAAGTTTATTTAAAAGATATCTTTGAAAAATCACACACAAAATTTATGAAATATATTCTTGGGGTTAACAGAAAAGCAAGTAATTTTTCTGTTATGTCTGAATTAGGAAGATTTCCTATACATTTTTCAATTTTATTGGCTATGTTAAAATATGATCAAAGGATAGAGAACACAAAGGATGGTTTATTATATGATGCATATATTTGTAATAAAGAGTTACATGTAAAAAATATTACTACATGGTTTTCTAGTCTTGATTTTTAAAATGAAAGAACTAGACTTATCACACTTAAATGTAAGTGTTGGTCGATTATGTACTATAGTTAAGGATAAATTATGTCAAAGTTTTCTGAATTATTGGAAAGATTTTAGAAAAAATACTGTTAAATCAGATAAAGGTAAACTCTTGACTTATTTTTCAATTAAACATTTTTTTGATACAGAAAAAATATTTGGAATTAAAAGAATTTTAAGAATTCAAAGAAAGACTAACATTATGCAAGATCAGGATAAGTGCACACCCCTTAAAAATAGAGACGGATAGATATGCCAAAAAATATAAATATAAATCGCAAAGGTTATGTAAAAAATGCACGTTGGATAATATTGAAGATGAAGAACATTTTATATGTGAATGTCCCCTTTATAATCTCTTGAGAAAAGAGCTCTATGATAACATTTTCAGAAGTTTTAAAAATTCGAGATATTTAAAACACAAATGCCAAGTTCAATTGGCTTTTTATTCAAAAAAAACCTAGAGGTATTAAAAATTATTTGAATTTAACTTAATAAATGTTTTGAACTCAGGAAACTATCAATATAGTACAGATATGTTTATATGTAACCCATTAAGAATCTTTGCCTATTAGTTTTCTATATCAGGAATAGATTACTTTAGCTGTATTTGGCAAAATCTTTTTTGGAATATTGGGTCCTCAATGCTCTTCAACTTTATTTGGCCTTTTAAATTTTTTGTATTAGAATATTGTTTATATTTTAGCCATAGCTCAGTATATGTCAGTACGTAAGGTATAGTCTCCTTGTGTCCACTGCATTTTGTGTGGATCAATCTTCAGTGTTATGAATTGTTGTTTATCTGTTTTTCTTGGTTTATCGGTGTTTTCTGTCTTTCTTCGACAGGGGGGTTTGAATACCCTTGTTATCTTTTTACTTTCGAAGATATTATGAAGCTATTTTTCTTGTTTTCGAGACGGGAAGCATTGCAACTTTAATAATCTTTGGAGGTTGACGATACTATGCTTATATCATATTTATTTCTTGTATCTTTTTTTTTAATTACAGCTAGATTATAATTCTTTACAGTTACGTATTAAAACCGTCAGTAGGCCCATGATTGAAAATACAAATAAAAAAAGCCTCCCTTCTCTTCTCTTGCCGTTTAAAGTTTCTGGCTAGTAAAAGTGTTATGCTCTTTTTATTTCAAAACTTTTAATTAATAACCCTATCATCTTTATTAGAACATTAATGTGTATTTATGCTATTGCTAGACTTTATAAGCCACTAAACTCTCCATACGCAGAAAGCGGTACAAATACAAGAATTATAAGCGTAGAAAATATAGTAATTAGTAGAAATGACCAAAACAAAAGACGATCAACCACTAAGGCAACTTGTTTCCATTCTGAAACGATGTCTTCCTCGACATCATTGTCGTCACTTTTAGACACCAAATATTTCATATATTTCAAAATTTCAGATGTTGTTTTGTGAAGAATAGTATCTTTATTTTCAGACGAAGATCCTGGTTCAGATAAATTAAAACTTTTTCGGACATCAGAAAAATAGTCCAGACTATTACCTGTCATAGGTGTATTGTCAGATAATTCATGATCGCTTAATGTTTCATTTGAACCGTGGACAACCTCCTTTGTGGCGATATCGCGGAATAATTTGGTACTTGTTTCTACATCTCGGTCCTCGATCTGGTGTCTCAGTGATGCTTTTTGTTTTTTTATCTGAACCTCACGCTTAAATGACTTTATTCCAGTAATGCAATTACAACGCACTATTTTTGCAAGAATTCCCAAAACTATTATTCTAACCCATTTCGGTACTCTTTTCTGTTGCGGAGAGCAGTGATGTAATTTCATTACTAACACAGTCAGAATTACTGCAACCGACGCTAATGCCATTGACATGGTTAAGTATATACCTAAAAGATACAAAAATTAAAATTTAATATTCATTACCGTTTTGCATTCATATTGTTGTCAAGTTAGTTTTTATGGAATAAATGGAAAAGGTTGTATTCTATAATGTTTGCTTAAGTGATTAACATTAAATTATGAAATTTGTAACCGTTTTCACATGATATGTTTAGATAAAAAAAAACTCTCTTTTTCTGTTCATTTACAAAGGAGTCATTTGAATTTTGGATACAGGGAATATTATAGTGTATATTTATGTTTTGTCTAACTCACCAATCAATGGAACGAATTCCGACGTAGGTGGCATACTCTCTGCAACCAGTAACATAAACACCGAGTATGATAACAAAACAGTGATACTTAGAGTGATTTTCTCTCCGGCATCTGGTGGCAGACAAAATGTCAAAACACTTAAAACATTCAACCAGAAACATGGGAAAATAATGTTTAGAATATAATATAAAATTCTCCTCCTAATCAGAAACTCCACGGTTACATCCGGATACAGATCATCGCCAATAGGATATTTGATTTCATTCCGGATGATTTTGTTTTCTGTTAATATCCACTCTCCGTTTGTTGTATATGTATGTAGTTCTACGGTATCTGTAAGAGCCACTAAGTCCACTTGTCGTTTTGGATATGACCAGGAACCAAATTTCAATTTGCAGATCTGTCTGTCGAATGGGAAAAATGTAATGTCGACTTTACATGAACTTCTTAATCTAACCGGAGGTGACCAAAATACCCAGCCATCACTATGGACCATTGCATTAATAGGCATAAAACCATTAGTATAGTCATCGGCACTAAAACAAATAAAGCATTGTTTACTTTTTGTATCATAACAGATAATTAAATCATAGACCATATTCTTTTAATCTAATTAAAACCTTTTTTGAACTATTAAAAACAAAATTCTGACTAGCTATACATCATTCTATTCAATGGCAGACACTTGGCAGGAAACTGACTGTACCAAGTCAGGAATATGACAGTTGGTTTTCACTCGTTCCGTTGGTTGATAAAGTTTGATTTTGTCAGTTTTCATGGACTTCCCCTTTTTAAATTTACCTTGGAGTTCGGCATTTTTGTTACACTTTTTCAAGTATAACATTTTACATAAAAAACATGCACATACTTATTGTAAAGGATAACCTGACCACATCTGACTTACTTGTTATACAAGACAATATCTGGTAACCATAGTTTACTGGCTGGAATACGTAAGACCTTCAGGTTATTATAGTTAGATTCGTTCCATCTCATTCTGTCATCTTTCCAGCGCTGAAATTATAGCTTCGATTTTTCAGAATTTGAATAAAAAGTAGAATAAAGAAAGTTTTAGTAAAACAAATCACAAAAATCTTGATACGGAACAAAGTTGAAAACTATTCCTTAGCACTAATTAATTCGTTACTAGCTCCGAAAGTTCCCAAATTTCCTCCCACACTGATTTACAAAAATGAGGGCCACTATCTACATTGAACAGAATTTTATTATGTCATGTTTATGCCCGTTTCATACAAAGCTGACACAATGACCCTCGATCAGCTAGATCAAGATAATAGCATTCAGACAAAATCCACTCTCTGCAGTAAAATGAAGATAGCACTTTATAAATTTGTTGGGTCAGAAGCACGTTTACCTTCGCAAGGAACGCTTAGAGCAAAAAAGATGGCACGGATGTATAGATACTTGAATACTAAACTAGCTATGTGACAAAAAAAGACATATAAAAAGAATAGCCAAATCCACTTAAAGTCAACTTTCCTGAGGGAGTTGGAACCGTAGTTTCTTAATATTTTATAAAATTATCAACTGAAATTTGACACAGGTTAAAAGTCATGTCAGTGCCAAAACCCTGACTGCTGAAATAAATAGAGAGTGCAATATCCGTTCGAGCAAAGGTTTCAAATTGTTACTTTATTACAATTTATAAAGGTAAAAAAACGTCTGTGAAGGTTGGTGCTTGTAGAGTAGACCACAGCCGATGCGTTTTCAGTACAAGGGTTAACATATTACACCATATATGCTTGAGTGTTTAAATAGAAACATCATCAAGTAAAACCTAAGGTATTCGAAGTGAGAATTTCGATATTTCATCGAAGTAATTTATTTTGCGTTCAAAATTCTATGGGATATTTTTTTTGGTCTTGTACAGGCACAAAAGAGGTATCATTCTCAAAATTCTGCATCACCATCTTGCTCGGAAACACTGTTTTGTGAGTTTTTTTGTTCTTTATGTTCTTGTTGGTTTGTATGTCTGTTTTAACAAATGAGTTGTCTATTCGTCTCCACTTAATGGAAACTGGAATTCTTTTCCTAATTAATTGAAGCAAATGTAGGTAAAACTTTTTTTTTATATATTTCCCAATGATTTAACGTAAGGAAAGAAATGAACTCAAATGATTTACAGATTTTGTTATTGGTTTTGTGGAAAATATTTTACATTTATTGGCATCTGATAGTATTATACTATTCATGAGTTTAATCAAGCCGAAAACTGCATAAATACGCCAACTCTACAATTTGCGGGTCAAGGTAAGAACTGAATTACAACATACTATGGTGTTAACTATTCTTATATATCTTATGCTGTTAACATAACCAGATTATTTTGATAATGTGTGTTAATTTGACTATTTTCTTTTTCGGCGATTGTTCCAATTTTCCTTTTTTGATTTTGAGCATTTATATTTTTAGTGTCTCCGGACATGTTCCCTACTAATTAGGCGGCACGGTATATGAATTCAACCACAGTGGCGCTATAGTGTTTAAATTGTAAAATGATTTGAAAGGATTGTGTACTTCGTGGAGAATTTTTTATCAGAAGCTGCTTGTTTGCAAAGATATTTATATGTTTAACTTGAAAATGTAAAAAATAAATACGGAAAGAAAGTACCATCTTCTAATTTTTTTCGTAGTGTTCTAATCAAACTTATCCTCATAATTCTTATGCCGACGATCATTTAGTGACTGAATTGATCTGTCAGATCAAAAATTTATTTAATCTTTCATTCAATTCAAGAGATGATATTTGTAGAAAAGGTTTATTCAGAAAGTGATTGCTTCTGTCAATCTGTAAGTCACTATCTATTGTAACAGACAGATATCAGGAAATATGACAAATTCCTTGGCCTCCGTCTCTGATTAATTTTCACATAGATATGCTGTACCTATTTTGTAAGAAAAAATAAAATTGTTCTACGCTGAGCTTTGTACGATATGGATATTTTGAAGGTACGTCTTAATACCTCTAAACATACGAGGTATGAAAATGTACTCATCAAAGATACCAGGCTTATAATTGTGTACGCCAGACGCACGGTTCGTCTACAAAAGACTTATCAGTGACGCTCGAATAAAAAAAGATGAAAGGCCAAATAAAGAACTAAGTTGAAGAGCATTGAGGACCTAACATTCCGAAAGGTTTTGCCAAATATAGCTTATATATTAAATTCCTGGGATAGAAAAAAATTATGATAAAATAAAGAATGGCTACGGGGAATATGTCAAAGAGCAAAATCAGCCCAAGCCCACTAAGGGGTCTTCAACACATATAGAAAATCCCGCACCCAGAAGCGGGCTTCAGCTGGCCAATATACTTGAAATCTTTTCTTGTAAAGTTTTAAAAAGAGAATCGTGGTTTGGTTGACCATTATAGAATATCTTTGTCATATACGAGCATGAATATGTTACAATCTGTTCCTCGTTTGTGACCTCAACGAGAGACTTATCGGATTTTTACTTGCCATGAGTAACACAATGAGTGCCAATATACATCTCTACCATAAACCGAAACAGATTCGGAAACCGAAACCAATGATAGATTGTTAGTTGTAAATGTTAATGTTTATAAGTTGTAATGAACTCAGGCAATTTTAAAAATTATTTTTAAAAATATTAAATATAATTTAACTTAAAACATCAATTCTCGTAAAAAAAAATTACCAAAAAAAATGGTGAACATTAATTCAAACTCTGCTGAATACTCGTGTACAAGTAATATGCAAATTAACATGTCAATTTAATTTTATTTGTGATGTTCATTAGTGATGAAACATGTTTCGTCGAAGGGGCGGATGTGCACATACTACTACAATTAGAGTAACATCGTTTCGACTGTTACTATATAGAGAACCTATGATTTTATGAATCTTAATTCGTTTATTGGAATATTTCACAAAATCTTGCTCGAATCTTTTCGTTGACAAGTTTGCTTTGATTGCGGATTATTGGACCTTGATTGCGTTTCTTTCTTGAAACAAATGGAGTAACAATGCCTGTTAACATCATTCGAGGGCAGTTGACTCTATCAGGGAACTTTTAAAAAAATCGAAAAGTAAAAATGACAGAACAGATTTGCTTTATCCAAGATGATGAAATAAAGTATCAAAACATATTTTTAGATTTTGAAATAATGTTCTTCATTGAGAATTAAATCAAAACTCACAGCATTGCAAACACTTTCATATTCAACGGCATATTGTCTTCATCACAAAACAAAATTGTCGACTAAGAACTATAAATTGAATATAACTTGCCTTTACTACTTCACTGGAACCGAAATATTTTGTGTGTTATAAAATTCCATTATTGTTTTTAAACAAACATTACAATATTTTATAAATAAACTGATTAACAAGTTTTGCCTTTCTCAAAATATTGGACATGAAGTGAAAGCTTTTTGCGAGATGCGGGCATTCGTACGCAGCAAAACATGAAACACCCAAGTAGAAATGACTAAGAAATAATATACAAAAATTCCAAAAAGCAAGATGAACGATGTCCGTAATAAACAGGCTGATGATGAAAAGCTGTGTGGTGTGTTTTGGTATGTTGGCAATTACTTACTAAGACAGTTTCTCGTATTCTTTATTCTACACAATTACATTTTGATGATGAGAGTGTATAATACTCCTGTTACATGTTGACGAGTTATCTTAAATAGTTTTAAAACTGTTTTCAATTAAGGCTACTGTAGTTAACCGATGTTCAAATACCGTAAATCGATTAAGATGAGACAAATTCAGGTAACAAACAAAACACTGAGGTTATTTAAGACGGACAACAGTCTACAGGATACCACTCTTCAAGATACCACTTTTCATTATGTTTTTATGGGAAAGTGCCCATAACAGAACATAGAGTATAAATAGCACCAACCTCAAGGAAAAGCAAACAAAGTGAGACAAGAAAATATAAAACATATAACTAACTGATCATCAAATTTGTTTTCCGAACGCACAAACACTTTTGAGTTGTCCTCGTTATATTCTGATTAGAGTAATAATCACTGAAATAAAAAAGTTTACTGCAATTTGTGTTTGTTTTGATACATTAACTGATGAGAATTTGCCTCATTCTATGCACTTAATGTGGTTTCGGCTTCAGTCTCGGTTTCGACTTCGGTTTCTGTTTTGACTCAAATTTTGCCTTATCTAGAAGATGTCTATTAAAAGGAAATGATCGGCTTTCCCTTCCAGAGCACGTGAATTAGTCCCCTCTTTTTTGTTGGGGTTCGGGTTGTTCAATCTTTTGTTGGGGTTCGGGTTGTTCAATCTTTTGTTTTGCTTGTAGTGTTTTGTGGACTACTGCTTGTCTGTTCGTCTTTTTTCTATTTTCATCATGTTGTCTGTCTTATTTCTACTTATGGCTTTTCATTTCCCCTTTGATATCTTTTCTCCATTTTGGGGTACATATTTAGGTAAATATCATAAAGCTTCCTTATATGGAAAATAAAGCAAACTAGAATAAGCTCACTACTTGATAAAACTGAACAGAAAATATTATTATATAATGATGTCGTATTGACAACTTTGATTTTTTCCCGGAATTCCAATAACAAAGTATTCTCATAAGTCTTATGTAATACACCAAGTCGGTATAAACACTTGTTTTATTTATTTCATCACTAGCAAAGAAATTAACTACTGTAGAAATTATTACATTCCAACATTTTAACCTGATAAAGGAAAATCCAGAAAAGCGCTTAGTACGCGTGTACAATTTAAACAGTGATATTTTTTAACACCAGGTCGATGCCGCTGCTGGTCGACTGTAAGTTCCAAGGGATATTATATACCAAGCATTTAGTGCTTCGACACTGACATGATCTATCCTTAAACTTCGTTGAAAAATTTAGATATGATTCTAAAAGTAAGTAACCGACTGCCCTAGGCAAAATTGACCTTTGGCGGTTTTATCTATTCTTTTTATGTCCATTTTGTTCAGGATATCTCATAAATTATCTATGCATCTATGGCTTCCAAAGGTTTGGTTTTGAGCATTCTTGATGAAGGTTAATCAAGAAAAGCCCTTTGGACGCACTAAATTTATAGAGTGTTGATTGATAATTTACTATATATTAAATACTGTCTAAGCCTACATACTATTAATCAGTAAGACCCTAAAAGACTTTGACTTACATGTTCTAGCCAGGCATTTGTTACAAACACTTGATTAACCTCTTCCTGTAAAACAAACCAGTAATAAAATATGATAATGGAATTACAATAATTTATCACTACAAATAGAGTCTGAAATGGCATTTTTAAAATATTTTTTTATGAGGAAACGGGATTTAAAAAAAGAGGAGAAGGCAATAAGTGGACAATAAACAAGAAGCTGTCAGATTGACAGCAAACCGGGTTTTCCTACATGAAAATGATATTTAAAATTTGGACCCCCAAACAGGATCAAGTAAAAAAAATAAATGAATTTTTGTAGGGTTCAGAAATGGAAGGCCAAAAATCAATCTTGACCACCTATTTATCGTAAGTGACATAATATTGGAATTTAAGAGAGTATATAAGAACACACACATTTGTTCAGCAGGGGTGGGTAGGCAGAAATCATGAATATGAAAATAAGAAGATGTGGTATGATTGTCAATGAGACAACTCTCCACAAGAGACCAAATGACACAGAAATTAACAACTATAGGTCACCGTACGGCCTTCAACAATGAGTAAAACCCATACCGCATAGTCAACTATAAAAGGCCCTGAAATGACAAATGTAAAACAGTTCAAACGAGAAAACTAACGGCCTGATTTATGTACAAAATGATGAAAAACAAATATGATACAGCAACAAACGACAACCACTGAATTACAGGCTCCTGACTTAAGACAGGCACATACAGAATGTGGCGGGGTTAAACTTGTTTGAAGGCGCCAACCCTCCCCTAACCTGAGACAGTGGTGTAGCAGTACAGCATAAGAACAAACTATAAAAATCAGTTGAAAAGGGTTTAACTCATCAGATAGATACAAAGCAGACATACATCTAACAAAAACACAGAGTGGACGTGACAGGGTACTTATACATCCCCACAACAAAAATACACTAGGTACAGATATGAGAGTACTCGCAGTTACTGACAGCTACTTCAAAGCCAATAATAACTAATAAAAAAATCATGCATCTAAGCCTAAAATATCAATCAGTACACATCCAACATCCAATAGATTTAGTCTAAAGACGTCATTAAAAGTCAGAAAAAACATGATCTTGTGCAATGCCAAGATACAGGTATCGACAGATTGTAGAACCATAAATGTACATATGTATATAAAAGTAATATTTAGTTTGATTTTAATTTACTGATAACAAAATCAATATTAATACCAATATAAACAATATTCAAAGATCTAATTATAGTGTTGAATTGGTAACCTTTTAGAACCGGATCGTATCTAAATTTCCGGGCTCGGTAAACAACATCTCCGTAAAAATTAGGATGTGCTTTCCCGTTTGAAATAATGTAAACAATTTGTTTTATGAGATTATAACCTTATTTAATATGAAACAATAGAATCTTGTGGCATGTGGTAACTTCAATAACTGTCCAGAAACCCAAACTTAAACGGTTGTTGTCTTGTTTCTTCAAAGTATCACAAGATTTTCATCTAAGCCTTTTCAAGTTATCGCATGGGCGACGTTCTAAGTATCACTTTACGCTACTTAAAGGTCTATAACTCATCAACTATAAAAGCTAAAATCGTCAAATTCTTTTAGTCACAGAAAACAACATATCTAAATTTGATATTAAAAATCTTGTTATTGCACGGACACTGTTTGGCAGCCGCCCGCCCGCCGTACATCACCAAATTAATAACCGATATTTTCCTTTGGAAATCTGGTTAAAAATCATGAGACGAAGAAAAGCCGGCAATACCACGGTAAAAACCGAAAAGACAAATATAAGTCCACAAAACTTTAAAAGTAGTGTTATGATTTAGAACTAGTCAATTATACTCGTTCCAATTTAATGCATGTAAAGTATTTTAACTTACCATTTTACTTACAGCTAATGTTTACAACCATGATATTTCAGAATATATTTTTAACAACTACATTTTCAAAAGCAGACTACCGTGAATGTACACCTACTGATGGCTTTACTACCTTCATGGTTACTCGAAAATTGGTTTTATTTAACAAGTTCCTAGAAAGATATCTGTTAAATGCAATTACAATATAATATGATTAGAGTTTGGAAAATACTTCAATATAAACGTAACATTGGGAATCATCTAGTTTTAATATACATTTCGAAAATAAATACTTGGCTTTACATATGAATAAGTGGAGACTTGGGATATACGTCAATGAGACAGCAGCCCAACGACAAACATTTACTGAAGAAAAATAGAGGGCAACATACATTCTTCTACAAAAGACGGGTTACTATACATTCATTATTTTTACCGGATATGAAGAATAGTTTTGAACAGATATATCATTTTTAAGCGTGGTATTTGCGAAGACAGTTTTGTATTCCTTATTTTTACGATGTGTTAAGTATAATTAGAATGATATTTTCATTCCGAATAACACACACCATCAGTCAGAAAAATATAATTCTAATAATCTGCTCTACTAAGTTAAATGTTCTAATCCTTGCGTATTTAAGAGTAATGTATACTCACCATATCCATGATTTGTATGAGTGAGAATCCAAACTTGACAACAACACTGTGTGATGCATTTATTACTGGTCTCACACTATTGTCGTACTTGTTCCCATTAAAAAGTTCTTCCACTAGTCTTTGTTCGTCTGGTAAAACCACTGCTAAAATTTGCAATGATTGTAAAATAAAACAGTAAACGAAAAGTAAAACTGTTGGCATTTCCATTATCAATCTTATAAGAAAACTTAAATTGGTTAATCGAAAAACAACAACAAAAAACTAAATATTTTAACCACTTTGATAAACTGTTATTTTATGCCATTCGAGTGGTCATGTTTTTCTCACAGCTGGTAATTATCACATAAATCCCTAAAGACGGAATGTTATAATCATTAATATTTATCAATTGCAGCTGTCGTCTTTGACATTATAAGTTCGACGACACTTCTGTCATACTTCTAATACCGTTTGCTACTATCGAAGATTTACCCAACAACACTACAGTATTCACTCTAATTTCACAAAACAGAATATGCCTTTGTCAAATCAACAATATTATACAACTGCCAAGTCTGTCCAAATAAGTTGATGAAATCGTAAACAAACCTTAACTTTCATGGAAAACACATTGATTATTCATACTCAGTGACAAAATATTTTATTGACAACATATATACGGATCTCCTCTTTAATATTTATCATTATATTTGTGCATTAACATTACTAGGTTAGTGCTTCCATGGCGAAGTAATGCAAGGTTTTACACATGTAAGTATGAATAAACAGCTACAGACATATGCTTTATTATTTCTACTTCATTTAGTACAAACTCATCCTTTATGGTTTCACTATTTTGAAGCAATAACTTTCAACAAAAGGATAGTGGTTGATTTATTGTTGCTGTGTGATTTTATTTGAATAGAAGATATAAAATTATAAACACTTTGTAAATAGTATTATGTATGTTAAATGTCTTGTCTTATTAAAGAGATTTTATTTATTTACTACGATACTAAGATTTTATTTAACCAATTTGAGTATTTTTAATGTGGAAAGTAGAGAAATAGGGTATACACAAATGTACGTAAATGAAACAGTAGTCTAACGGAGACATATATAACGTGAGGATACCCAAACTGCACCTTTTTGACAGTTATTTTCACTTACGTTTATTTAAGAAATAGACAAATATTTTCCATTCTGTGTTTATTTTGAAGATCCTTATTTACTATATAGTTTCACAATTTTAATTTTGAATCCACTATGAATCATGTAAGTATGGGTTTGAACCACCCAAGATACTGTAATTAGGAATACCTAAATTGCATACATGCTTTACCTCACTGTGACACATTCATGAAAATCGAAAAAACTTACATTTTGTTTTATTTCTCTGCATTGTTAGAACAATTTGACAATAGTGCCTGCATTTTGTAAGAAATGGGTGCCTGGTGCCTGTGACATATTTTAATCATTTTTTAAAGTTGACTATTTGTGGACGTCGCATATGACGTTTCCGTAGATTTTACTTTTTTCACTGGATACTACATCTGTTGATATATAATGCAACCGTTTTGTGTATATATTTTGATAAATTTAGCTGTGTTGAAAGACGTGCTGTCACTGCAAATGGCGAGTTATAAAAATACAAATTGTTTAGTCTCTTAGAAAACTTGTAAGATTTACACTTTTTGCAAAACGGTGCAAATTAGGTACTCAGTGCAATTTGTGTATTGTGACGTTATGTATATAATTCAACATACAACTTCAATAATATACAAAATTACATATGAAACTTTAAAGTCTAGCAGCCGGTTGTACGAACGTGGCATTAGCCTAATGGGTCATTAAGTCCTCATTAAGCCTTTATGACGCATTAGGCTAATGAAGACTTAATGACTCATTAGACTAATGACACGTTCGTACAACCGGCTGTAGATCATCACGAGTTTATTAAGCAGTTGTGAATAATTAAAACTAGATTATTAAAAATTTGACAGCAACTTCCCTTCAGGACAAAATTATCAAGCTGCCGGCATTGACGACGTTCGTGATATCGGGCAGACACATGTACATATGTGTTGTTTTCACATATGTTGTTAACTTCTCGGGGTACGAAGAGAGATTCGTTTTCCCGTAATTTAGCATACTCCGAAAAGCCCTTTGTGATGCAGCTTCTCGAGGTTCAAAATCGCCTTTTTCACACAATAAGTTCTTGGAAAATTGAGTTCTTTGTGTACATTTGATAACTCCATAGCTTTACACCTTTATTCTACGGTCCTCTGCTCTTCAAATCAGCACAAATGATTAATCTCAGTCACTTTGTGAAAAATTGAAACATTTCCAATATCACTGCACAGAGATTTTTTGTTAACGCAATATTTTGAAGTTTCTCAATTTGAGCCGCATTAGGTATATTGACCCATATATGGCATGGGTAAACCTGTATTTAAGAAGTCATTTTGTATTTCCATTGTACGTAATAACAACACTACTCAGAAAACTGATGATGGAGCAACAATATTAGATCTAAATGTTTTAAACATTAGGAGCTGAATGGTCCTGAAGAAATTTTGAACAGGTACACTTATTTGTTCTAGTGAATGAAACAACACTTAATAAATTTCATGCGTCCAAAACGTTTTTTTTTTTTTTTTAATTTATTTACTTTCATCGGGAATGCTCAAACCTTAACATCTGAAAGCTAGAGAGGCATAGCTAAACGGTAACGTTAGGAGCTAAATGACCAGAAGGGACCTATAAATATTAGCAAATTCACCTAAGGTCAACTTTGTCTATGGAATTGGAACCTTAGTTTTACTTAATGATTTCTTATTTTTTAAACAACGGACAATTTTAGAGAAATATCTTATAAAATGATGTCAGTACCGAGGCCCTGACTACTGAGCTGATGATACCATCCGGGGACTAACAGTTCACTAACAGTGGTATCGACCCAGTGGTATAGTAAATGAAAGTTACGCGTAATAAATTTAATTTGTCAAATTATAACACACACATGTGTTGTGTGTAAACAAACACTTTGATGATGTCCAGTTGTCATCTTGTTTTAAGCCAAATCAGAGAAAAGAATTGGAAGTGTTCGGGGTATAAATTTCATCTAGTTGTGCGACATTCTCAAAGTGGTTGTCCACCAACGTGTGATGGCGACAATGAATCTTCATAATCTAGTGTGTATGAAGCTTGAATTAGTAGTTTCTGTGACAGTTATAGTCAATCTTCTGGGCCATTGGGATGAATGAAATATAGAGAATATTTTAAAACGTATGATAGATTTCGTCTGTTTCATAAGTGGTAACTAGTGGATGAACTCTGCTTCACACAGAAATGAATCTGAAAGGAATGTACCGTACATTTAGTTCCCTAGTTCCTTTGGCAATGCATATGACTTTATTGACAGAATGCGACTTCCGGTAACAAGCGCATTAAAATACCAATATAATTTATATTTTTGTTCCTTCAAAGTGTATTATGAAAATCTATTTCCTGAAAACAAAATATATGTCATTATTAGATATGTAGATTTGTAGACGTTTATAAAAGGGAAAAATGTAGACACTTAACTGCTTTAATTTGACAAGGACAATGCAATGCTTGTATCTAAATGGAGAATTTGTCTAAACTTTGACGTGCAATTTCCGTAACAGTCTTTCCCAACTTTTTTTTTTAATATTGACGTATATGTCAGTATATGGTTAAAAATATATTTATATTTTTCCGTTTTATTTCTTCAAAACAATTGCTCCTTTGAAGGTTAATAGGTTCCGTTAACCTTACTAAGTATGAGTATCCACTTGATTGTGTTACTTTTTTTATCTCTCAGTATTATATGTTTGAAAATATTAAACAAAAGCTACGAAATCATGTTCAATTTCTAGATTAACAGTTTAATTGATACTGACATTCATTTTTAAAGAAATCAGGGATTTTCTCAGGAGAAATAACTTTGGAGCAAAATGAATTGTATTTTAGTTAACAACGAATCATCATCCCTTCGAAACAAAGTTTCGATTGATTGATTAATTGATTAATTGATTAATTGATTGATTGGTGTTTAACACCACTCTCAACACTATTGTGCTATTTTGTGGCGGTCAGTTGTTACTGGTGGAGGAAGCCGATTTACCCGGAGAGAACCACCGACCTTCGGTTGGAAAACTTTCACTCCTAGTCAATTAAGATCGGATTCGACCGCACCTGCCACGTTAATGATAGGCTAGTGATACAGTAGATCGATAACTTAGACCACTCGGCCACCGAAAGGATATTGCAACCACATCACTAGTCTGCACGTCGAGTTGTGGATATAATATATGTGTGTGTGTCCGTAACTATTGTGAGCACATTTGGATTAATATCTTCATCAAAGAATAATTAATGAGCAACAAAGACGCCTGAAGAACGTGGCAATGCAGTAAGTGCAAGATCTGAGTATGAGGAAGGAACATAAACCGTTAAGACATAATATAATTATAGTCATTCACCCGTTTTCAAAACTATCGTCAAAGGATGACAAAATGGAGAACTTGAAACTTTTTCTGCGTTATGATCATACATGAAAGTCGACATGCAGTCTTCAACAATAGATATATGTCTAGACAATATGACAAACTCTTAATCGCCCTTAGAATAGAAAGTGTTGCCTTTTCCAGTTAATGACATAGTTCTGCAATTAAATCTTGTATCTGTATTATTGCTATGGTACTTGTTTTAATTTTCACTGAACTGTTCTACTGACAAAACAAACAATTGCAAATTGAGACCGGGATACTTTCGAAACGAGTGTTGCAAGGATATAATAATTGCCCAATGTCTGCAGAACAATACAAAATCTTAAAAAAAATCACCCCTTCCAAAAACAACACTATAGACAAAACAATACAACAAAGAATATTGTACCCTGATTCACAAATACATATGGCGTTAAGAAGAATTGACACATAACATGTACAGAGAACACTAATATTACCCGGATGTTACCATATGCTCGGGAATATAGACCACTTACTGCTCCGCATGCCAAGCCTGTCAAAATACCTAGACAAACTTGATTATAACAATGGTTATTACAATTTACTGATGTGTTGATAAATTGAGAAATTACTAAGAAATTAAGGTTCCATCTTCCTCAGTCAAAGTTGACCTAATATTTTTAGGTCTCTGTTGATCATATTGTTGCTAACGTTGCTACGTATTTGTACATC